GCAAGAATTGGAATATCTAGAATGTTTGAAATGCAATATGTGACATATCCTCATTTGGTGTATGAATTTTTTAGCTCATTTGCGTATACAAAAGATGTGAATGATCATGCAAATGACATAATCACCTTTCGTTTACTAAATGAGGATCGTTCATTAACCAAACGAGAATTTGTTCAACATTTTGGTCTCCCATGGTTTGATGAAGCACGTACATATGATTCTCTTGTGGGGTATGAATTGTGGAGAAGAATGACCAGAAAGAATGTGGTTGATCTATCTAAACTGAGTGTGAATCGTGTGCAACATCCGGTCTTCCGACTATTCTTAAAATTTTGCTCAAATTGTTTCCTCGGAAGACCGAATAATCATCACACACGTATCTGGGATGTGTGTGTTCTAGCACAAGCTGTTTTGCCGGGCCCGAATCAAGTTGATGTTGCCATCATCTTATGGACTCATTTCAACAACGTGGCAACATCAACAGGACCAATTGCTATGGGGGGCCTCATCACACATCTAGCCACTTTATATGGTTTTATAGACCCCGACCCCATCACCTCAAGACACCTTATTTGCACTGAATGGCTTTTACAAAAGACGCTAGACTTGGTCCCCTCGCACACAACACCAACTGGGGCACACATCTATAATTGGCGCATTCTCCCACGCACTTCCATCTACCTCCAGATACCCTCAGCCGACGTCCCCCTGGATATCATCAATCACCAAATCGGGGATGGTCATCACTATTGTCTTCCCGGGGCAATCCCGGATCATTATGAAGAACCCATCCAAGATGAAGATGATGAAGAACCCCCAATCATACCCGAACAACCACAACCTCAAGCATTCCACTACACACCTTTCGAGCAACAAATGTTCGATAACATGGTCACGTTCAACCAGAGCATTGTGAGGATGGAGGAGTAGCGGCAAGCAGACTGGCGTAGGTATGAGGAAGACAGGCGGAGATCTGAGGAGGATCAACGTAGAACCTTTGGTCCGATATACTCCTATATAGCACACCAGGGCTCCTTTTCCTCTATGACCACTCCACCTCCTGCACCATCATGGTATGACCCCTCTCAGTGGGGTTTCTTTGGAGGATCGAGCTCCGGTGGTGGAGGCTACGATGGTGGTTATGGCGGGGATCACATGGATGAGGACGGACACCAAGGTGGAGGTCTAGGCGGACACTAGGGACAGTGTCAGATCCTAAGTGTGGGGGTGCAGAGATTGTTCTGGTATGCTCACAATCCTACTTGTTTTATTTTATTTTCTTAAAATAAAAATAAAAATAAAGAGCTTGTTGAGTTGAAAACCCACAAAGGGCAACTCAAGCAAAAATTAAAGCAATAAAATAAAGAGTGAGGTTGTGAGAAATAAAAAAAAATGTGGGAAGCTGGGATGAAAAGCTGAAAGGGCAACTAGGCAAAACGAGAGAATGAGAGAAATGTCTATTTTGCAGGATCCTGAAGGTGATAAGTTCAAAAGAGAAATGGAGATAAAGATGAAGTTGAAGACCCCAATTTACTTTAATTATTATTGGGGATGTTTGTATTGTGGTAAAAACACTCTTGGATGTTTTGTATTGATATTCTTGTCATTTAGGACTTCTTGGATTTAATTTGATTTACTCGAGACGAGTAAAGGTTTAAGTGTGGGGGTGTTTGATGCACACTAATTAGTAGTGCATAATTGCATGTTTTTATGTTTGATTTATGTTAATTGTTTGACGTTTTATTTAGTTTGTAAACATTTATGTGATTTCAGTTGTAATTGTATTTTAGCCTTTATTTGTAAGTTGTAAAGTTTAGTTAGGATTTGTGGTGTTGGAAAGGAAGATTTTGAAGTGAAGAAAAAGAAGATTTGGCTGCCCAGGAGCAAATACCCGACCGGGTATAACACTTGACCCGGTCGGGTAAGAAGTGAAAAACGAAAATGCAAAGAAGGTGCATGGCCCGGTCGGGCCCACTACCTCACCCGGTCGGGTGAGAAGTGACCGGGGACAACCCGGTGTGCAAAGATCACCCGAACGTGAAGAATATCCAATTTTTGCACTCACCCGGTCGGGCCCCCTACCCCACCCGGTCGGGTCTGACTTGACCCGGACACTTTAACATGCCGAAGATCGCCAGAACGTGGAGGATATTTGATTTTGACATGCACCCGGTCGGGTAAGTACTATACCCAGTCGGGTACCCGGCCAAAGGTGTTGAAAAACACCTATAAATAGCACTCTTTTTCTTCTCTAAAAATCATCCCTTCTTCCATACTCTTTAGCTCAATTTAGAATAGCATTTCTTTATATTTTTCTAGCTATGTTTAGCCTCCAAATGAGGAGCTAAACTTCCATTCTTGGTGTTGCTCTTGAAGCTTGTTGATTATTAAAGTTGTGAGTTATTTTCTTAACTTCTTTCCTTGAATATTAATTAATAGTTCTTTCCTTAATACCATCTCTATATTGATGTTGGGGAGTGTTGCTAAGATGACAATTAGTTAACATCTCGACGTTAGTTAGTATGGTATTTTCTTCTTCTATATTAATGTCGGGGAGTGTTGCTAAGATGACAATTAGTTAACATCTTGATATTAATTATAGTAGGATTCATCTTCTTTAATAATATTCTTCCTTGAATATTAATTAATTCCTACTCTTATTTCATATTAATATTTTGAACATTACTTAAAGGATCAACTAGTTTTGTTTCATATATTAATTATTACTAGAAACGATCAACGAACCGATGGTTAATCGTTGATGGTTTCACAAGTAAGTAACTTCGGTTTATTAATGCACGGTCGTGGTTAATAAACTTAAGAGGGATTAATTTTGTTGGTTAAACCGAAACCGCTTGTGTTGAGGTTATCAATCTCAATTGATTTCATCAAGAGGTTAGAAAGATTAAATGCTACTATTAAATCGGTATAAGGCGTTGTTCTATATTTGATTAATAGTAAGGGTTATTAATGAACGGTCGTTGTTAATAACTACCCTCGATGAAGTGGATATACTCCCCGATTGAGTATTCGAGAGGGAATAAGTTATAGATATAACAATGATCGACTAAAATATATCAACAAGTGGAAAGTAGCAATACCAAGTCCTTTTTATCTTTGAATTAAACACATATAGGTTGTTCATCTTAGTTCTTAATTAAAATTAAATCACTCAATCAAAATCCCCCCTTTTATTTACTAAGTATCATAAAAAGAGAATTATTCCTTTCCCTGTGGATACGAACTCTACTACACTATACTACGTATAAGTGTTTAGTATTGAAATTATTTTGACGCACTGTGACAAAGTGCTCGTCACGTATCCACAGGGAAAAGAATACTTTTCTTTTATAAAATAGTAACAAGAGGGGTTTTAAGTTTGATTTGATTTAATTTAATTAACACTAAGATGAACGACTTATATGAGTTTAATTTATAGAGATGAGGACTTGGTTTTGCTTTTATCCACGTAATGAAATGTTCGTCGATCCCGGTTATATCTTTAACTATCTTCCTCTCGAATACTCAATCGAGGAGTATATCCAGTTCATCGAGGGTAGTTATTAATAACGAGACGCGTTCATTAATAAAACTTACTACCGAGTCAATATAGAACACGCGTCGTATATTAACATGATAGTAGCAATAAACTTGAGATGAAAACGATTGAGATTGATAACCTCAACACAAGCGGTTTATCGGTTTAATCAATATAATTAATTCCCCTTAGATTATTAACCATGAGACGCATGCATTAATAACCCAACTTTATTACCGTTGAAGGAACCGGATTAATAACAAGCGTATTAACCGATTGATTCTAGTAATAATTAATATATGAAACAAAACTAGTTGATCCTTTAAGTAATGCTCAAAATATTAATATGAAGTATGAATAGGAATTAATTAATACTCAATGAAGAATATTAAAGAGTATGGATCCTACTATTGTTAATATCAAGATGTTATCTAATTGTCATCTTAGTAACACTCCCCAATATTAACATAGAGGAAGAAATAACTATTACTATAACTAATGTCAAGATGTTAACTAATTGTCATCTTAGTAACACTCCCCAACATTGATATAGAAATAGTATTTAAAAGAAGAATTAATATTCAAGGAAGAAAATTAAAGAGAATAAACTCACAACTTACAAATTCATTAAGCTTCAAAGTAGCAAAACCAAGATGGAAGAGTTTAGCTCCTCATTTGGAGACTAAACATGATGAAAATATAAAGAAAGAACTATTCTAGACTGAGCTTAGAAGTATAAAGGAATTGGTGATCTTTGTGGGAAGGAAAGGGGGTATTTATAGGCTTTTTAGGCTGGCAGGGTCTTGTACCCGATCGGGCTGTAAAGGCACTCGATCGGGGACTTGGTTGCTTCGCGGAAGTATAAAAAACTGGGTTATACCCGATCGGGTATGTCGGCCACCCGATCGGGTATGAGCACTCGATCGTGCCAAAATCTCCCATGCATGTTGCCTTGTCCCGGATCCGATCCGATTTGATTTTTCAACAAGATACCCGATCAGGTATAGGTCATACCCGACCGGGTACAACACCAAAAATCAGAATCTTGAGATTTTTTTGCACCTTCCTTCCATTTTTGATGTTCACCAATGGTCCCTATAGTGATCTTGGACCTGTTTGAGCTCAGTATAAACCTAATCTAAACAAATTACAAACATTTTTACAACTTAAACTATTACACCAAAAGTGTGTAATTTCCAAAGTAATAATCAATCAAAACTAATTAAAAACACAGAAATAAATATGTAATTTACATGAATGTCAACTCCCCCACACTTAGTTTCTTTACTCGACCTCGAGTAAAACCAAATGTTTATACAATGTTCATCAAAAAATCATAAGTTCAAAGATAGTAAGAAATAAGAAACTAAGACCACCAAGTATTGTAAACGAGTTTACAGAACAACATTTCCTTGGGTTTAAGGGTCTTCTATGCTCCTTACTTCTTCTTTTCCTCTTCTCCGTTTCTTCTTCTTCTTTTCTTCAATAGATGATGTCCTGCAAAAACAAATTTCTCTCATATCTCTCGTTTTGCTTAGGAGCCTTTTCAGGTTTTCATCCTAGCATCTCTTTTTGTTTTTCCTTCCTTTCCGGCTCACCCATTTTTTTAAGCCCTTGTTGCTTAGATTGCCCGTTTTTGGGTTTTCAACCTAACTAGCATTTATTTCCTCTTTTTTTGGGTGTGTGTGTGTACAAAGAGTTCAAGAAAATAATGCTTAGTATGAGGTAAAACAAAAGGGATTTTAACATACCAAAAAATGAGTCTTCCTCCCCCACACTTGGATCAAGGCACTATTTTTAGTGCCCGCCTTCACCGCCATAAAAACTTCCTCCAAAGCCTCCACCGGTGCCGCCCTCATTGCCCCCTTCATCCATGGTAGTGTCGTCTCCTATCCCGTCATCATAGCTCCCACCACCGTAGCTCGAACCTCCAAAGTTACCCCATTGAGAGGGGTCATACCAAGACGGTGGTGGAGGAGGAGTGGCCATAGAAGAGAAATTCCCGTGATGGGCCATATATGAGTACATAGGACCATAAGTCCTACGATACTCCTCTTCATAGCGGTGGAGGTCGGCTTGCCGTAGCTCTTCCATTCTTTGGAAGCCCGCCCGTTGCTCCTCTCGGATTTGTGCAAGTTGTTCACCCATGTTTGTGTAGTTGAGGTTCATTGTGTTGAACCCGGCAAGTAGTACTTGTTGGCCCTCCAAGAGTTGTTGGAAATAGTCGGTTGGAGGAGGGTTGTAAGGAGGATTGGGGATGTGTTGTGGTGGTGGGTTTTGAGGGTGGTCGGGAATATCATGTTGTGCATTTCCTTGGGCTTCTTGATGCTCAATTTGTTCGGGTTATTCGGCTTGGGCTTGAAAATGTGGTGGTATGGCATTAGGAAGTAGGTAATGCGTGATTTCAAAACTTGCCCTTTTATACCTAAGTTTAGGTATTTGTTTGGAGGGGATAGGGAAGTAGATGGTTGGTTTGGGTAGGATATGCCACTTGTAGTGGTTTCTCCCGTTGTAGTCTTTGTGGGCGAAGGAGATGCACCCCGCGTTTCCAAGCCAAGTCAAATTCATCAAACAATGATCGACTATTGGTTCATTATCCACATAGCCGAATTTGGAGGCCAAATGCATAATGACCCCCCCCCCCCCCCCCCGACAACAATATTACCTGTTTTGTTGCAAGTTTTCTCCAAATGATCCCACATTAGGTTGCAAACGTTGAATGGTACGGGTATTTGAAAGAGGGCTAGGGTGAGGATGACTACGTCCCCCATCCGAGTTTGGTGGTTGTTAGGGCGACCGAGCAAACAATTGGCCAAAAACTTTAGGAAAAGTCGAAGAATAGGATGTTGAATGTGACTAATGGAATGTTTAGACGCGCTCACATTCAATTCTCCGTTCATTTTAGCCCATAAAGTGTGGCCATCTATTGTATTTTCCGGTATTCCCCTCTCATGGGCCATGGGGATGCCAAAATGTTGGGCAAACTCACGTCTCGTTATTGTGTATTCATTGTTGAATAAACGAAACGTGAGTGTGTCGTTATTGAACTCCTCCCCTTCCTCACGTTCAAAAAACTTAGCCGAGCTCAAGAATTCATAAATCACCCTCTCATTACAATTATACTTCATATCAAAAATCAAGTTCATATCCAACTCATGAAATAAATTGCGCATTTTTTTCAACAGGCCTAAAGCAGTGAGAGCATCATGACATAGAAATTTGGAGAGGATTACTTGCCTTTTTATTTGAGCCAAGAACCGTTGCCTTTGATTCCCCGGGCCGAACCGGACATCCTCAAATCCGGGAATTGGTCCCCTTGTAGTTGAACTCTCAACCCTGTCTCTTTTGGGTGCCATTGGTGTGCTTGTTGAAGCTTGATTTTCGGAGAAGGGGTGAGATGGGTAGGGTTTCGGTTTTTGTGGTATATGGTGAGAGAGATGGTTTTGTGGGTATGAGGTTGTAGAGCAGAGTGAGGGGAAGATTTTGGTTGTTGTATGAGGTGATTTGGGTGAGAGATGAGGGAGTAATTGAAGAAAGAAGGTTCGAAAATGGTGGGTTTGGGAGAGGGGTTTCGAATTTGGGAAGTTGGAGAAGATGAAGTGGCCGATTTTGGGGTCTGATTTGGGTTAAAAGTTGGTGTACCCGATCGGGTGGCCCGACATACCCGATCGGGTATGCGTGTATTTCTTCAAAATCCGGGCTCCTACCCGATCGAGTTGGGGTATACTCGATCGGGCGATTTGGTGCGAACTAATTCCCCGTTAAAATTTTAATTTACCCGACCGGGTGTATGGGTGTACCCGATCGGGTACTTTGCTACGAACTAAATTAGCCTTTTTCAAAATACACCCGACCGGGTACATGTGTACACCCGATCGGGTATGTGCTTGTTTTATTAAATTCAGCCCAGGAGTGGATACCCGATCGAATAGGCCGGGTACTCGATCGAGTAAGATGCTACGAGATTTTTTTTTGAATTTTTTGAACAATACCGGACCGGGTGGGGAGTGTTGCCCGATCGGGTATCATGCCCTGAATGTTTTTTTTTTTTGAAAATGTAAGAACACACAAAATGAATGAAAATAACAAAATATAAACTTGGGTTGCCTCCCAAGAAGCGCCTTATTTAACGTCGCGGCATGACGTTATTCACTTTTTTTTGTTTTATGTGGGATCATGAGCATCCCTTGTTTCATTTTTCAAGGCCCTATTTGGCCATTTTTCATTTTTATTTCTCGGCCTTTTCCAGTGAGGCCGAACTTTCGTTCTTGTCAACATCTCAACCAATGATGACTTTCTATGTTCAATTCTCTCCTCTTCTCGAAAAATTGGGATTTTATAAGATTTCTCCAAAAATATCGGTTCCTGTGGTTCAAAAATATTTAAAGAGCACAGAGAGTGATCTTTAATTTGGTCTTTTATAGAGTCAAAGATATTGAACTCTACTTTTTTATCATTGAATTCTAAGGTCAATGAACCACTAGACACGTCAATTTTAGTTTTTGAGGTCTTTAAGAAGGGTCTATCCAACATGATAGGTGTTATTTGATCATCATTTCCCATTTCGAGGACATAGAAGTCAACAGGGAAAACCATATTTTCCATTTCTACTAGCACATGTTCTATCACACCCTTCGGGTAAGTGCTAGAATGATCCGCTAGTTGAATTACTACACCGGTTTGATGTAGTGGGCCAAGTTGTAGGGATTTATAAACGGAATAAGAAATGACATTTATTGATGCCCCTAAATCCAACAAGGCCCTAGGAAATGTGGTGCCCCCTATCGTGCAAGGAATAGTGAACATGCCTGGTTCGCTACATTTTTCGGGGAGTTTATTTTGGAAAATAGCTGAGACATGTTCACTAACCTTAACCTCTTGTTTCTCTTTCAATTTATTTTTCCTTTTTGTTTTGCATAATTCTTTTAAAAATTTAGCAAAACGAGGAACACTTTTCATTGAGTTAAGGACCGGAATGTTTACCTCACACTTGGCGAAAGTCTCATAGATGTCAGAATCTTTCTCCGGCTTCTTTGTCTCTCTCAGTGCCTCAGGAAACGGGGCTACTGGTTCATATGATGAAAGTGGAGGGAGCTTGGCTGTTGTGACCCCCTCCTCCGGTTGAACTTCTTCTTCAGGGTCCACCTCCTTAATTTCTTGATCTACCTCCTTCCATGTTGCCTCACTTCTCAACATGATGGCATTCACATGTTGTCTCGGGTTTTGCTCCGTTTGAGATGGGAGTTTACCCGAGTCCTTCGTTTCAAGTCGGTTCACAGCATTTGCAATTTGACTAACTTGAGTTTCCAAATTGTTAATGCTTGACCTTGTCTCATGTTGAAATTGTATCATGGTTTGTTGAAATTGTCCCATGTTTTGTTGCATGGTAACCATGTTTGAGGTCAAAGTCCGGATCATGTCATCAGTTGACATACTAGATTGAGAAGATGAGTTGGATTGTTGAGGGTTTCCATACCTCAAGTTAGGATGATCCCGCAATCCAGGGTTGTAAGAATTTGAGAATGGATCATACCTCTTCTGTTGATGGCCTTGGAAACCCAAGGCGTTGACTTATTCTTCTTGGAGGGATGGGCACGAATCAGTGGGGTCCCCGGTTGCTGTGCAAATGCCACAAGCTTTGACCTCCTGAGTCTTTGGTTTCAGAAGAAGTTCTTTGACCAGAGAAGTCAAACCGGCAACTTGGCTTTCCAACGAGGTGTTGGATTCTGCCGCGGCAACCCTTCGAGTTGAGGGTCGCCCACTGTAATGTCTGGAGTTCTCGGCTAACTCCGAGATGAGATTCCTTGCTTGAGAAGGGGTTTTGTTAACAATTCCCCCTCCACATTCCGCATTCACCATGCGCCTATCTTGATCCGCAAGACCATCATAAAAATAGAGGATGAGGTCTTGCTCGGTGTACCCATGATATGGGCAACTAGCACACAACTTTTTGAAACGCTCCCAATATTCATACAATGTTTCATCTTCTTTTTTCTCAATGTTGCTTATTTGTTTTTTTAAAGAAGATGAGATGGAGGCGGGATAGTACCTATCCAAGAAGCATTTTTTCATTGCCGCCCATGTGTCTATACTTCCCGAAGGAAGATAGAATAACCAATCCTTTGCAGTGTCTTTGAGGGAGAATGGAAAAGCCCTCAATTTGATTTGTTCTTCCGAGACACCACTGGGGCACATGCTTGTGCACACAATATGGAACTCCGAAAGGTGTTTGTTCGGATCTTCTCCTCTTAGGCCATGAAAGGATGGAAGTAGATGTATGAGCCCAGATTTTAGCTCAAATGTATTACCCTCATCGAGTGTAGGGAAGGTAATACATAACGGTTGTTGATTCAAGTTTGGAGTTGTGAGCTCCCTCAAAGTTCTTGTTTCAAGAGCCATAGTTATTGGCTCTTCGGTCTCGCTAGAATGAGAACTAGCGCTGGATGTATCTCCGGTAGATAATTCTTCCGAGTCGGTATTAGAAAATTTATTTTTCAACCGCTCGAAAGTTTGCTCTATTTCCGGGTTTGTATGATAGGTGATTTCGTTTATGGAACGATGTTTAACCATATACTTCACCAAGCTCAGAAATAGAAGAAATAAGAACTCTTTATATTTTTATTTAATTTTTTTTTATGTTTTCTTGAAATACAATAAAAGAAAAAATAATTGCCTTTCCCCGGCAACAGCGCCAAATTTGACGTGCACTTGTCGTGAGGTGCACTCAAAATAATTTATCAATACAACACTAATACGTAGTATAGTGAAGTAAGGTTCGTATCCATAGGGAAAGGAATACTTTTCTTTTATAAAATAGTAACAAGGGGGGTTTTAAGTTTGATTTGATTTAATTTAATTAACACTAAGATGAACGACTTATATGAGTTTAATTTATAGAGATGAGGACTTGGTTTTGCTTTTATCCACTTAATGAAATGTTCGTCGATCCCGGTTATATCTTTAACTATCTTCCTCTCGAATACTCAATCGAGGAGTATATCCAGTTCATCGAGGGTAGTTATTAATAACGAGACGCGTTCATTAATAAAACTTACTACCGAGTCAATATAGAACATGCGCCGTATATTAACACGATAGTAGCAATAAACTTGAGATGAAAACGATTGAGATTGATAACCTCAACACAAGCGGTTTATCGGTTTAATCAATATAATTAATTCCCCTTAGATTATTAACCATGAGATGCATGCATTAATAATCCAACTTTACTACCATTGAAGGAACCGAATTAATAACAAGCGTATTAACCGATTGATTCTAGTAATAATTAATATATGAAACAAAACTAGTTGATCCTTTAAGTAATGCTCAAAATATTAATATGAAGTATGAATAGGAATTAATTAATACTCAAGGAAGAATATTAAAGAGTATGAATCCTACTATAGTTAATATCAAGATGTTAACTAATTGTCATCTTAGTAACACTCCCCAATATTAACATAGAGGAAGAAATAACTATTACTATAACTAATGTCAAGATGTTAACTAATTGTCATCTTAGTAACACTCCCCAACATTGATATAGAAATAGTATTTAAAGGAAGAATTAATATTCAAGGAAGAAAATTAAAGAGAATAACTCACAACTTACAAATTCATTAAGCTTCAAAGTTGCAAAACCAAGATGGAAGAGTTTAGCTCCTCATTTGGAGACTAAACATGATGAAAATATAAAGAAAGAACTATTCTAGACTGAGCTTAGAAGTATAAAGGAATTGGTGATCTTTGTGGGAAGGAAAAGGGGGTATTTATAGGGTTTTTAGGCTTGCAGGGTCTTGTACCCGATCGGGCTGTAAGGGCACTCGATCGGGTACTTGGTTGCTTCGCGGAAGTATAAAAAACTGGGTTATACCCGATCGGGTATGTCGGCCACCCGATCGGGTATGAACACTCGATCGTGCCAAAATCTCCCCTGCATGTTGTCTTGTCCCGGATCCGATCCGATTTGATTTTTCAACAAGATACCCGATCGGGTATAGGTCATACCCGACCGGGTACAACACCAAAAATCAGAATCTTGAGATTTTTTTGCACCTTCTTTCCATTTGTGATGTTCATCAATGGTCCCTATAGTGATCTTGGACCTGTTTGAGCTCAGTATAAACTTAATCTAAAAAAATTACAAACATTTTTACAAGTTAAACTATTACACCAAAAGTGTGTAATTTCAAAAGTAATAATCAATCAAAACTAATTAAAAACACAGAAATATATATGTAATTTACATGAATGTCAATAGGTTTTGCATCAAGCATCTTAGCATGCTCTAGAATGTCTCGTGCATATTTGGATTGGCTGAGGAATAAGCCATCCGGGGTATGAGTGACCTCGAGCCCTAAAAAGTAATTAAGACGGCCAAGATCGGTAATAGAGAATTCCTGGTGCGTGCGAGCAATGAAGCATTGAACATATATGACTTTGACTATTACCGGTGACGATGATATCATCATTCATCAACATACACTAACAAATATAGAAGAGTGGGCCCCTGAGCAAACAAAAAAGGGAAGGATCAGCTTGACTGCAATAAAATCCCAACTAAAGAAGATAGGAACTGAACCGTTGGAACCAAGCACGAGGAGCTTGATTTAACCCATACAACGCCTTCTTGAGACGACACACATAAGAAGGATGCACAGGATCCATGTAACCAGGTGGTTGTTCCATATAGACAGGTTGATCAAGAGAGCCATTGAGAAATGCGTTTTTAACATCAAGTTGGTTAAGCGGTCACTGATTATGAACCGCAATAGCTAACACAATACGAACAATGGCGGCTTAGACTACAGGACTGAATGTGTTAGTGAAGTCAAAGCATGTATAAAACAATCCCATAAGAGTGATAATACACTATATATTAAAGGCGAGAGATGGGCTAGAATTAAATATATAAAACAGGCCCATTAGAGTGATAAGACACTATACATAAGCCCACAATTTACTACTCGTATGCACTAATAAGAAGTGGTCATACAACAAACATGTCACATAGCATGACATTAATTCTGTGGTGAGTCTGTGTGCTCTGTTCTCTTTTCAATATAGCCTATTGCCTTTTCACACTGAGCGCAATTAAATAATAAGATGAACATAATTGATGGACATCCACCCTTCATTCTTACTTAATTTTAAATAAGAAAAAAGTGAATTTTACATCATACTATAATTGTGTTTAAATTTTCCAGAAGTAATATTAGTGAATGTTTTGAAAACAACTTTAAATGTCAAACTTTTGTTCACCACTTTCCAGAAGTAATATTAGTGAATGTTTTGAAAAAAGATCACTTTGAATTTGTTCGCCCATTTATTTATCACTTCACAGATTGTTGTGAGACATTACCGAATATGACATTCGCAATATTATTTGCAATATTATTTGCAAGTATATATATTCTTCTTAAATAATGGCTCCAATGGAATTAGTGATGTACTAAAGGTTTAACAAGATTTTATGGTGCCATTTACGGCAGTTGACTGCATATGATAACATAGGTTGTGTTTGAATTTGGTTCTTTAATTTTTTCTATAGATTTTTAATTTAATAGAAATTGTCCTAAATATGACTAAATTTTGCCTAAAACGCTCAAATAGGACTAAAGACTTAAATCTTTCACAAATAAGATTAATCATTGCTTTTCTACCCTAAATACCCCTAAGCGTATTAATTCATAATGAAATGTTTTAATTCATAATAATATCATAAAATATAATAAAAAACAGTAAAAAAAATTATAAAATAAAAATTTCAAAAAACAATTAATTCTAAAATAATTAAAAAATAGTAAAAACCCATAAAAAATTAAAATAAATGGATACCATTCCCACCGCCTTCCAGCACCACCACCTCCGATTGATGAACAAAATGTCAGTTTTGTAAAAAAAATCCATTTTTCCTTAAAATGCCAAGAAAATGGCATTATTACTATTGATAATGCCAAAATTTTAGCCACATGTTCCTTACTTTAAATGGAAATGACAAATCATTTTGGGACATCCAAAAAAAGAAATTTGGACAACATTTTCGAGACGGAGGGAGTATTACAATTGATTCCCAACTAATTAAATAACAAACAAAAGCAAAATATTACCAATAAACTACGGAATATGAGATGAGCACTCAATCAACGTAACACAAAAACCAATCTAACTGACTTTGTAATGTTTGGTTCATAAATCCTTTCCGATAGATGTATCAAAGAAAAATGTTTGGTGCACAATATTGAACGTTAATTTGTATGCTACCGCCTACTGGGGATAAGTTAATGTGCATTTTTAACATTTTTTCTCATAAAATACACACTAAATATATGTCACGCACTCACCCTGAACAGTTTTCAACGTCATTGAAGTAATGAACGTATTGCTTCAACATAAAAAACTCTTAACGTGCTTTGTAGTATGCAAAATAATGTTGAGGATCTTTATGATCAGAGTCAAGTTGATGTATGTATCATTTTTTACATTTTCTCTTTTAAATCTACGGTGACAATTTAAAATAGGTGTACTACGATCTGTTGGGGTAAATCACGTAGGGGGTGATAATCGAGTACTTGGATTGCTTAAGAATCGTGTAAGTTCACTTTCCAAATTGATATTTCTCCTCTATGCCTGGGTTACAAGAAATTGAATTTAGGATAATCTTTAAGGACACTCTAGAACTTAGGCACAAGAAGTAGAGACAAACTAGTGAGTATCTGGATTGCTATCTTAAGTTGAATGACAAAAGTGATCAAGATATGTTGTATATTTTTACTCTAGTTTCTCTGTACGAAATATGGTGATATATATCCATATTACACGTCTCAGGCAGTCGCAACACGTTTTGGAATAACTGTGACAGTTTTTGGAAAAACTGCACGAAACTGCCCAACCGCTCTAGACCTCTGTCTAGAACCACAGAGTTGGTCTATTGAGTGTTCTACCTCGAGTTCCACTGTCGTAGACACTTTGGAATAGAACTCGTTCTTATATACAAGTGTGCACTTCACACCAGCTAGCTAGTATTAGAACACGGTTCTAATCCTCATTGGCACTCATGTCATTTCCAATTACACAAAACGGCCGGTGACACTAAAATCACCAACAATCCTCCCCCATTTTAGTGTAACCCATGAAATGACATAACAAAATATTTTGATCTTAGTATTTTACATAAATGAAAATGTCGATACGATTGAATTTTGATCTTAGTATTTTACACATTAAAAATATTCGAGAATCGGGGTGTCCTACGGATTGAACCCTTCAACCCATTTGAATACCTCAAGATAAAATACATACAAGTTTCTATACTCAACTAGAATACAAACTTGACACAATTATAAAGCCGTGTGTCCTAACCCATTCATGATCGTATAAAAGCCAAGTCCCAAGCTTTTTGAAGTGCGGCTACACTTCACGATCATATAGATAATTCCTTTACTCGTGTACCTGCTTACATTTTATCAAAGGAATTATTAAGAAATAAATTCAGCCTCCCTACTACAGGTCCGAACACACACCTTGGGATGATTTTCATTGTGTGTTCCAATCCATTAAGTGTGAGCTTTCTGCATTGAATTCAGCCTCTAACGTTTTATTAGAGGGGAATTGGGTGTCTCACCATTAAGGATTAAATAGACTTTAAACCCATCCCTATAACAGACTTGTGCACTAAGTCCCGGCCCAAACTTTTGGTCAAGTGGTCCGCCAAGTTATGTTGCGATCTTACAAATTCCATCGAAACTTACACCATTCATGATTAGTTCTCTAATCATACTATGTCTAACACCTAAGTGTCTAGACTTGTCATTATAAACATGACTATACGCTTTAGCCAAAGTGACAACACTATCATAATGGATAGAAATAGGTGCAATCGGCTTCCCCCACAATGGAATCTCAAAAATTAAATTTCTTAACCACTCCGCCTCTTTATTGGCGGTAGCCAACGCAACAAACTCAGATTCCATGGTTGAACTTGTGACACAAGTTTGCTTCTTGGATGCCCAAGAAATGGCACCTCCCCCAAGCAAGAATACCCAACCACTTGTAGAAGAATGATCCTCTACATTGGATATCCAACTTGCATCCAAATATCCCTCTAAACTGAAGGATACTCAAAGTAACACATTCCATAATCCATGGTTCCCTTTAAATACTTGAACACTCTCTTCATTGTGTGCCAATGTTGAGTACTAGGATTACTAGTAAACCGGCTCAACCTATCCACGGTATAAGCAATATCCGGCCGAGTGCTTGTCATGACATACATCAGACTACTAATGGCTTGAGAGTACTCAAATTGTGATACCGCTTTTCCTTTATTAGGTATCAACTTCACACTAGGATCCATGGGAGTACCAACGGGTGAACAATCACTATAATTAAACCTTTTGAGAATATTCTCAACATAGTGAGCTTGTGTCAAAGCAATACCTTTGTTTACCCGTTTAATCCTTATACCAAGGATCACATCCGCCTCTCCCATGTCCTTCATGGAAAACCTTGATGATAACAACCTTTTGGTTTCATCAACCTGATTTTGGTCAGTTCCAAAAATCAGCATGTCATCAACATAGAGACATATGATCACACCCGCCCCTAAGGCATCAAATCGGTTATGGGACACACTTTGTAAGGAATAAATGTAATTAGATTTTGATGATGCTAGGTTTATTAGAATTTGAAAGTACCCCTATAGAAATTTTGTATTAGAAAAATTTCTTTGTAAGTATTAGCATAGTCGACATGCCAGAAACCCTCTTGGTCTTCTTGATCAGAACATCTACCAGAGTTGCTCCCAGAGTTGCTCACCAGAGTTGCTCCCAGAGTTGCTCTCCAGAGAAGCTACCAGAGTTGGGTACCAGAGTTGGCATCAGAGGCAGTCATCAGAGTTCGGATCAGAAAGCCTCATCAGACTTGCTCTTACTTAGCAGAATTCGAAGGCACTTACCAACGGCCGTGAAACTAACGGGAAATCCTTTAACGGCTAGGAGTCATTCGACGGGAACATGGTACTATACACGCATTAAATGCTCAATTAATGGTGTACGTACGAAGATATATTTAAAGCTGATGATTGACCATGCGGGTATCTTCACGCCCCCAAAATAGCAAGTCGAAGGTCCAACCGGTCAAATCAACAGTACAAGCAATTAATGAAGCTGTCTTCTACACTCCAACGCGAAGACTGCTCCCAGTATATAAGATACAGTTTGAAGAACTACCAGGACAACTTTTGCTCTATAACTTTGCTCAACCTATTTGCTCTGAACCAAAAAATCTTCAAGCTTTCTTGAGATCAAAAACTCACTTACCTCAACAAGAAAAGCTTAAGTTGGAAGATATATTTTCATATCCTTCATCCAACTAAAAAGTAGCAAAGTTCCTCAGTTCTTCAACACTTCGAAAGCATCATCTACACATCCTTTGTGAAGAAGCAACGTTGGAGAAAACTGATCTTGAATCAAACACTTCTTGAAAAAGAAGGGACATCTCAAACTAACTGGAGTAAGTGAAGTGGGGATACTTCCAAGAGACTTAGTGAAACGAGACTAGCCATCAGGAAGCAGGACTGCATCCCGGGTGGCAACTAGGCTTGAAAAAGACGTGGAGTGCTTCTTAAGTTATAGGGACTAAGGCGTTGTAAACTGTTGTTTTTGCAAGCTTAGTGGAACAATGGACTAGAGGAACACGTTGTTCCTTGAATCACTATAAAAATCCCCGGTGTCATTTACTTTACACATTTATTTCTGCACTTAAGATATGGACTGTTTAACTCAAAAGGTTGGACTCTGTGTTCAGCAGATCTCCCTTAAGAGTTATCAGAAAGGCATTTGCCTTAGTGTTTTCTGAGGCTACCCGGACATAAACCAATCCGCTGCGAGGTCCAGTTCTGCCATCAGAACTTGACCTTCTCTGTCACCAGAATTCGACCATCTCTGATAAGTCAGTAGTGACTTAGAGAAAAGTTTGAAAAATCCTGAACAGTCTATTCATCCCCCCTCTAGACTGTTCCCATTATAAACGGAACCAACAAGTGGTATCAGAGCCTCCTCGTTCTTTTAATCTTTTAGGTTACTTGCTGAACAAGAGATCCACTTGTTTTAGCCTCTTTAATCTCATATTATGAATAACACTCTTTCAAAGAATCTTATGTTTTCAGTGACTAAGTTTGATGACTGGAGGATTCGCATGAAAGCTCACCTCTGCGCACTCCATGATGAAATGTGGGAAGTCCTTGATGCTGGTCCTCTCACAAAGTTCACCAAGGTCAATCCTGAATACACTATTGGTGGTGGTCTACCTCAGAAGATCACCAAACTGCGTCACGAGTGGTCTAATGAAGAGAGGAGGAAATACAACCTTGACAACATTACCAAGGACATCCTCTATAAAGCCATAAATGACAAATAGTTCACAAGAATCAAGAAGTGCACCTCTGCCAAGGAAATCTGGGATACACTCACCCTGATAGGAGCTGGTGATGAGCAGGAGAAAGATAACAAATTGACCATTGTCATGAAGAAGTTTGAAGACTTCAAACTTCTACCCAAAGAGTGCATAGCTGAGATGTATGCACGCCTGCTCACCCTCACTGCTGAGATATCAGAACTTGGGAAGGAACTTACTCCCAAGGAGATCAACCTGAAGGTTCTCAAAGGTCTATCTTCACCCTGGAAGATGAAGGTCACTGCCATGAGAGACAACAAAGATCTCAGAACCTACAGCACTGAGAAGCTCATCTCTGATCTCAAATCTTATGAGTTCGAGATGAATGAAGAAGAAAAAGAAGAAGTTGAGGACAGAACAACCACTGCCCTCACTACCAGCACCTCACAGGTAAATAACTTTGACCCTTCAATTCTCTTGACTGACGAATATATGGCTGCCTTTGCCAGAAAGTTCAGGAAATTCTTGAAGCCAAAGGACAACAGAAGTCCATCCTCAAGCAGAAAGCCACACCAGAAGTCCAAAGTATCAGAAAGTAGTGGAGAGCTTCTCTGCTACAACTGCAGACAACCAGGGCACTTCAAGGCCAACTGTCCACACCCTATAGTCTCCAAAAGGCAAGGCCGGAAAGGAGAGAAGAAGTATGAGCACAGAAGAAGGAAGACACTCATCACTGAGCAACCAGAGAAGGACCCCCTCTCTGAAGTAGAGTCCATCTCAGAATCAGAGTTCGATGAGGCATTCTGTTGCCTGGATACAGAGACTAAAGACCTATGCCTTATGGGTCAATCCGATGATGAGGTATCCTCTACTTCTAACTCTAGTTTTTCTTCGGTAGGCAAAGCTTTTGATTCTGATTCAATATCAGAATTTTGGGAAGAGTTTCAAATCATCCAAGCCACTTATTCCTCTGTTAAAGAAGAAAGCAGTAAGCTTAAGGTTGAAATTCTTGACTTAAGAAAGGAGGTTGAGATCAAAATCAATCTTCTGATTAAGGAAAGAGATCAGCTGGAAGCTGAAAATGTTTCTCTTCTCAAGAGAATAATAGAGATAGAACCTCTTGAGATTAAGTATAAAACCTACCAGAAGGCCCAATCCTCAATGGAAAGGTTTGTGTTTGATCAACAAATTGGCGTTGGTTTTGGTATTGGATATAGCTTAACAGAATCAGATGAGCCTTCCATAATGCCTAACACCAGAGTTGTTAAAGCAGACAAGGTCATAGTGCCACTGAGTTCTAGCCCCATTTGCCAAGCTAGTGTATCTGGTACAAAGGTTGTTCATGAGAAGATCAGACCAGAAAAGGAAAAGATAAAGGTTCAACCAAAACAAGTTTTGAAAACTAATGAACCTGGCAGAAAACCTAACAACAGAAAAGGTGTTCAAAATAACAGAAAACAAAAACAGAACTTGACCAGACATTCTCATGACTACCCCACCAGAAATGATCACCAGAGAGGCAAATATCAAGAGAAGGTTAACTTTAGGCAGAAAAGGTTTGTTGGTCAACTTAAGAAGCCCAAAGCTAACCGCCGATCTGCTTTTGATAGTATATGAGACTTCTACCCAACCAAAAAGGCTATGCAGAAGTATGTAAACCGGAAGCATGATCCTCACAAGCATCTGCCCAAAGTGAATCACACTTCCGTTTACTATGACTACCAGGTAGACAATGGGTACCACCCACCATGGTTTCACTTGATGAGACCAAAGTGGTACTGGCTTCCAAGACTGCATGACCCCCTAGGACCCAACATTGCTTGGGTACCTAAATCTTCCTTTTAATTTTTGTAGGAACTGTGTGCTGGAGCTATCTCTGAGCAAGATTGGTACATTGATAGTGGATGCTCCAGGCACATGACAGGTGACAAGAGTTGCCTTACTGAGTTCGAGAAAATCAAAGGGCCCAGAGTTACCTTTGGAGGTAATGATAAAGATGGCCAAACTAAAGGAAGAGGGAAACTGATCAGGAACTAGAAGATGTCTCTTATGTCAAAGGCCTGAATTCAACCTGCTGAGTGCTAGCCAGTTCTGTGACAAAGGCTACACTGTTGAATTCTCCAAAGAAGGCTGTTCTGTCAAGCATGAGACAACTATGGAAGTGGTTCTGACAGCTACCAGGAAAAGAAACATCTATGTTGTTGATTGGTCTACTGCAAAAGAAGGAATTTGCCTGTTAGCCAAAGGAGATTCAAAACTCAGCTGAGAATGGCACAAGAAGCTGAGTCACTTGAATTTCAAAACAATCAACAAACTAGCAAGGGATCACATTGTTGATGGTCTGCCTAACATTATGTACAAGAAGGAGAATCTGTGCAGTGCATGCCAGAAAGGAAAGCAAGTGAAGAACTCTTTCAAACCCATTGCTGGAGATCTCTCTACTAGTCCTTTAAATCTGATCCACATGGATTTATTTGGACCAGTAGAAACTCAAAGTGTTGGTGGCAAAAGATATACTTTAGTCATGGTGGATGACTATTCGAGATACACTTGGACAATCTTTCTGAAGAAGAAAAATGAAACTCTACAGAAACTACCATCTCTGCTGAAGCTACTACAGAATGAGCAGAATCAGAAAGTCAAAGCTATCAGATCAGATAGAGGAACAGAGTTCGTCAACAAAGTCATACAAGAGTTATGTGACCAAAATGGAACAATGTATCAACTTTCTGCAGCCAGAACTTCTCAACAGAATGGAGTTGCAGAAAGAAGAAATAGAACACTCAAGGAAGCTGCAAGGACCATGATTGCTGAATCTGGTCTACCTCATAGATACTGGGCTGAAGCAATCAACACTGCATGCTACACCCAGAACCGGAGCATGATTCACAAAACTCATCAGAAGACCCCCTATGAGCTCTGGAAAGGAAGGAAACCCAACATCAGCTACTTTCATGCGTTTGGAGGCAAATGCTATATACTCAATAATGGAAAGGAACATCTCAAAGTGTTCCAGGAGAAAGCTGATGAAGGAATATTCTTAGGCTACTCAAGCACAAGCAAAGCCTACAGATCACTCAACAAAAGGACCCTACGTGTTGAAGAATCGATTCATATCAATTTTGATGATCTCAACTCTGTTGAGAACATAACGAAGAACTTGGAGAAAGCGAATCTAGAACAATCACCAGAAGTGGTAACACCAGAGTCGGTCACATCAGAGTTGGTCACCAACTCTGCCATACCAATTCATCATCAGAATTCCATTCTACGAGACAAGGATAGTGATGAAGAACCTGAAGAAGAGCAAGAGAGACCAAGGCAACCCTTATCAGAACTTGGCCTAACTTGGTTAAGGGATCATGCTCCAAACCAAGTGATTGGACAGATCAGAAGTGGCGTACAATCCAGATCTGCTACAACCAGAAGAGAAGCAATGTGTGTCTGCTATATCTCCCAAATGGAACCTATGACTGTAGAAGAAGCTCTTGCAGATTCAGACTGGATCAATGCAATGCAAGAAGAGCTTACACAGTTTGAAAGGAACAAAGTGTGGGAACTTGTCCCTAGACCTAAGCACCAGAATGTCATTGGAACCAAATGGGTATTCAAGAACAAAGCTGATGAAGATGGCAACATTGTAAGGAATAAATCTAGGCTAGTAGCTAAAGGATACTGCCAAGAAGAAGGGATAGATTTTGATGAGACATTTGCACCAGTTGCCAGACTTGAAGCCATCAGAATCTTCCTAGCCTATGCTGCCTTCAACAACATCAAGGTCTACCAGATGGATGTCAAGAGTGCATTTCTGAATGGAGATCTTGAAGAAAAAGTTTATGTGGAACCACCACCAGGTTTTGTCATTCCTACTCAATCTTCCCGTGTCTACAAGCTTAGAAAGGCCCTTTATGGTCTCAAGCAAGCTCCCAGAGCATGGTATGACACATTGTCCCTATTCCTAGTAAACCATGGGTTTACCAAGGGAAAGGTTGACAAAACTCTATTTCAAATCTCTGTTGCTAATCATATTCTGTTAGTACAAATATATGTTGATGATATTATATTTGGAAGTACTAATGCAGAATTGTGTAAGAAATTTTCTCAAGTTATGCAGAGTCAATTTGAAATGAGTATGATGGGAGAACTGAGCTACTACCTAGGACTCCAAGTAAAACAAATTCCAGAAGGAATCTTCATAAACCAAGGGAAGTACACAAGAGACCTGATCAAGAAATTTGGAGTGGAAGGCAAATCCTCAGTGAAGATTCCCATGAACACATCACAAGGAATTGGTCCAGATGATGAAGGAAAAGATGTCGATGCAACAACTTACAGAGGAATCATAGGATCTCTCCTCTATCTAACTGCAAGCAGACCAAATATCTCATTCTCTGTTGGAATCTGTGCCAGATACCAATCAAAGCCCAAGGAGAGCCATCTAAGTGCTGCTAAAAGAATCATCAGATATATCAAAGGAAATCCAAATGCAGGCCTATGGTATCCCAAGGGAGGTAACTTTGAACTAATTGGTTACTCTGACTCAGATTTTGCAGGTTGCAGGTTAGACAGGAAGAGCACCTCTGGTCACTGCCAAATGCTAGGTGGGAGACTTGTCTCCTGGTTTAGCAAGAAGCAGAACTCAATCTCAACAAGTACAACAGAAGCTGAGTACATTGCAGCTGGGAGTTGCTGTGCTCAGTTACTCTGGATGAAGCAACAACTGAAGGACTATGAAATTTATGCAAAGGAGATCAGGCTGCTCTGTGACAACACCAGTGCCATTGCAATCACTCAGAATTCAGTACTTCATTCCAGGATAAAGCACATTGAGATTAGACATCACTTCATCAGAGATCATGTGAAGAAGAAGCATATCTGTATGGAGCATGTACCTACAGAAGATCAGCTAGCGGATATTCTAACCAAGCCTTTACCAGAGGCAAGGTTTAACAAGCTAAGGGAAGAACTGGGAATGATGGATGATCTTCCTAGAGATGCATGAACCAGAGTTGCTGTGGACCAGAACTGCTTTCTGGAACAGAGAACCTTCCATCAGAGTATCTCTATCTCTGATCACAAGAGTACCTTTCATCAGAGAACCACATTCTCGGATACAGAGATCCTTATCTGGAGTCTATCATAGATCCTTGTGGACTTAGTTATTTTTTGAGGAACGGGCAAGACCTAATTACTTGAACATGTCTTTTACCAGATTACCCCTGATTATTATTCCTTTAACGGAAACGTTTTCCGCCCGCATTTCTTTAAATGCTACATCAAAACCATAAATAATCCCAAACGTCCACTAACCCAAAACCATTTAACCACCTTCTTCAACCTAAACCGCTACTGCTACTTCATCTCTCTAAACGTACATTTGCTCTCAAACCTTCAACCCTATCAGAACTCCTAATCTCCAGAATCTTTCTAGAATCAATCTCAGAAAATGAACTTCATCAACATCAACGACCTCACTAAGGAGGAAGCCAAAACTTTTGTTTCCAAGATTGTGACTGGCATGAAGGTGGACATGTCAGCTCTACCGCTACTCGCAGAAAACCAGAAACGGATGGAAAAGATCATCTAGGGGATGAACGAGTCTCAACTGAGCAAGGTTGTTGCTCATCCTTACGAACAGTTCAGCACCAAGGATGTGGCTGAGTTCTACCTCAACGCCACCATCACCAAGGATGGTGTTCACTCCCAGGTGCAGGGAAAAAGCATCACTCTGAATGCAGATGCCCTTAATGATTTCTTTGGAGTCCAATTGGACTCTCAAGACCCTGAAACTCCTACTCTCATTGACCTGGAGTCAGTGGATGTCTCTGTTGAAGCATTTGTACAGACCTACCGCCGCCCTGAGGCTACCAACCTAGACAAGCTGTACATGAAGAAGTTCTTACAGAAGAAGGACTATGAGAAGCTGCTCAGCATCTTGCACAGGTGCTTGTGGTGCAAAACTGGCTCAACTGACGAAATGAACAAAGCCAACTGCAAAGCAATCTTTGTTGTTCACCATGGCATGAATATAAACTGGGGCGAGGTAATTTTCGGCTCTTTAACTGAGTTTATCAAGAAGAAGGATAAGAAAACAGGCCTTTTCTCAACCAAGATGGGACATGGTCTTCTTCTCTCTGCAATCCTCACTGCCCATGGAGTTCAACTCAAGGATCCTTCCCCAGTTGACCACTCCTAAACCATCTTTCTCACTGCATCTCCTAAGCTGAATATAGCCATCTCTGCTGAACTGAAAAGAGAAGAAAAGCTAGAGAAAAAGAGGGAACAACAGGCTGTAAAACCCAAACCTATTCCCAGGAAGACTTCCAAGAAGTCCACTGTGACTTCAGAACAACCTGAGCAGTCGCAGGTTGCAAGGGATGTAAGGAAGAAGAAGAAGAATGACATGAAGTCCACACCAGAGAAGGGTGCACCAGAGGTGGTTGCATCAGAGTTGGCTCCCTCAAAGCCAATCAGATTTTCACCTGCTAAGAAGCAGAAGATGAAAAGGAGAAGGAAGTTGGTTGTTCAGAGTGAGGACTCTGACAACTCTGGTCTCCAACCAATGAAGAAGAAGAAGAAGAAAGCAGTCTCACCTGCAAAGGGATCAGAAACTCAGGGGGAACCTGAACCAGTTGCACAACCCTCATCTGTGCCAGACTTTCCCAACACTACTGCTCTACCAGAACCTCAAGTCATCTCTGACAGAGCACCAAAGACTGACTTCAATACAATCTTACAGAAGCAGTTTGAAAGAGTTCTAGCATGGAGAAGATGGAGAATGGGACCACGTCAGAAGATCATTCAATACTTTGATGATTATGAGGAAGAAGAAGCTGCAGTCCTTCACTGGGTAGGCACAGAAGATGTGTCCCAGTGTTTTGATCTTGCCTTTATCATCTCTGTCTTACAGAAAAAGAAAGAGAGATACCAAGGCAAAGTTCCTCTGATCGATACTTCACCAGAGAAGCATGTCAAAGCCCTGCAGGAGCATGAAATGGATGTCTTTGATGAATGACTGATTGAGAAGAAAAGGAAGGAATCTCTTATCAAATTTCGTCCTAGCGTTCATGGAGAAGGGGAACCCTCCACTGCTAATGATCTTCCATTGGTCATGGAGAAGCTAATCAGAGAATGGAGAGACTCCCAATTTGAGGAAACCATCTTGGAGGTAATCCCTAACTCCCCCTCTGTTCATCACTCCACAGAACTCCCTCCTCCCTCTCCCAAATCACTTTCACCTTTGTTCACCACACCTGTTACCTCTCCACCAAAATATCCATCTCCACTCAAACAGAAAACCCCTTCACCACAGAAAACCTCCTCTCCCCCACCTTCACCCACCAGAAACCCAACTCCACAGAAGTCCAAATCCATGTCTTCATCACCTTGCAAACAACCTACACCTAGCAGAAACCGCTCACCCTCACCTTCACCCTCCCCTCAACAGAAAACCCCTCCTCACCAGAGCTCACCCCCTCAGCAGAAATCCAAGTCCAAGTCCAGAGCTACCACACCACAAATCTCTCACTAACTCTCTATAGCCTCAACGCCCAAGAGAAAGATCCCCATCTGCATATTATCCTCAGATGCTGACAATGATGGATTCCTCACATCCTCTCTTACGGCTGACTTCACATCTAAGAGGAGGAAGACACCTCCTAGAGATCATTCTCCTAAACTCACTGACAACAATCCTCCATTACCTAAGGGCAGAGGTTTGGAGATGCCAGGGTTTACTCCAGAAGAGCCTCAGATAAACTTCAATCAGTTTGTGCAATCTGCAGAAGAGTTTGGTGGCCAGATGCTGGATAACATGAACAAGCTTATACTCATCAATGACAAGCATTATGAACATCTGACTCACACTAAAATCAATCTCAACCAGGGCTTACAGCAGCTATCAGAAAAAGTTGACTCTCTGACAGAGACCCTGCACACATTCATGAACTCCTCCAATAACAAGGTTGATGCAGTCTCCAAGGAAGTAGATGGAATCGACTCTGTCCTCTACTTTCACTCCCAATCTCTAAATGATCAGAACGAGAAACTGAAGGAGATCACTGAAGCCATAGACATTCTACAATGGAATGCAGATCAATCCTCAGAGCGTTTTATGGAGATAAGGATTCTTTGTAAAGAACACAAAGCGCAAACCTCTAATCTTTTTCAAAAGGACAAGGAGCGATACCAGAAGTTGGTACTCCTTGAAGCCAGTACACAGAGCATCCAATCAACCATGGAGAGACAACAGAGCCTGATTGAAGGACCGGCCTCTGTTACCCAGACTCTGCCAGAAGCCCTAGATGAGATCAGAGATGCTCAGGCTTCAGAGTTCTCTAAGATTGAGCTCCTCCTTGGAGATCTTGTTGATGCCAAAAAGGGGGAAAAGACCAGAGAAGAGGTAAGTATTAGCATAGTCGACATGCCAGAAACCCTCTTGGTCTTCTTGATCAGAACATCTACCAGAGTTGCTCCCAGAGTTGCTCACCAGAGTTGCTCCCAGAGTTGCTCTCCAGAGAAGCTACCAGAGTTGGGTACCAGAGTTGGCATCAGAGGCAGTCATCAGAGTTCGGATCAGAAAGTCTCATCAGACTTGCTCTTACTTAGCAGAATTCGAAGGCACTTACCAACGGCCGTGAAACTAACGGGAAATCCTTTAATGGCTAGGAGCCATTCGACGGGAACATGGTACTGTACACGCATTAAATGCTCAATTAATGGTGTACGTACGAAGATATATTTAAAGCTGATGATTGACCATGCGAGTATCTTCACGCCCCCAAAATAGCAAGTCGAAGGTCCAACCGGTCAAATCAACAGTACAAGCAATTAATGAAGCTGTCTTCTACACTCCAACGGGAAGACTGCTCCCAATATATAAGATACACTTTGAAGAACTACCAGGACAACTTTTGCTCTATAACTTTGCTCAACCTATTTGCTCTGAACCAAAAAATCTTAAAGCTTTCTTGAGATAGAAAACTCACTTACCTCAACAAGAAAAGCTTAAGTTGGAAGATATATTTTCATATCCTTCATCCAAATAAAAAGTAGCAAAGTTCCTCAATTCTTCAACACTTCGAAAGCATCATCTACACATCCTTTGTGAAGAAGCAACGTTGGAGAAAACTGATCTTGAATCAAACACTTCTTGAAAAAGAAGGGACGTCTCAAACTAACTGGAGTAAGTGAAGTGGGGATACTTCCAAGAGACTCAGTGAAACGAGACCAGCCATCAGGAAGCAGGGCTGCATCCCGAGTGGCAACTAGGCTTGAAGAAGATGTGGAGTGCTTCTTAAGTTCTAGAGACTAAGGCGTTGTAAACTGTTGTTTTTGCAAGCTTAGTGGAACAGTGGACTAGAGGAACACATTGTTCCTTGAATCACTATAAAATTCCCCGTTGTCATTTACTTTACACATTTATTTCTGCACTTAAGATCTTGACTGTTTAACTCAAAAGGTTGGACTCTGTGTTCAGCAGATCTCCCTTAAGAGTTATCAGAAAGGCATTTGCCTTAGTGTTTTATGAGGCTACCCGGATAGAAACCAATCCGCTTCCAGGTCCAGTTCAGCCATCAGAACTTGACCTTCTTTGTCACCAGAATTCGACCATCTCTGATAAGTCAGTAGTGACTTAGAGAAAAGTTTGAAAAATCCTGAACAGTCTGTTCACCCCCCCCCCCCCCCTCTAGACTGTTCCCATTATAAACGGGACCAACACACTTGTCCGATTGGTTTGAACTAAAACCATTGGACAAAATAACTTCATCAAACTTTTGATGCCATTGTTTGGGTGCTTGTTTCAGCCCATACAATGATTTGACAAGTTTACAAACCTTGTGCTCATTTCCCGGCATAACAAAACCTTCTGGTTGTTTCATGTAAACTTCCTCATCAAGATCACCATTTAAAAATGCCGTCTTGACATCCATCTGATGTATAATCAGATTGTGTATAGGCTCCAAAGCAATTAACAACCTAATGGTTGTAATTCGAGCAACCGGCGCATACGTATCAAAATAGTCAATTTCGGGTTTTTGTCTAAAACCTTGAATGACCAACCGAGCCTTGAAGCTGTCAACAGTTCCATCCACTTTCATCTTCTTTTTGAATATCCATTTGCAACCTAAGGGTTTAGAACCCGGTTGCAAATCCGACAACACCCAAGTGTTGTTCTTCATAATTGATGACATTTCATCATCAATTGCCTCCTTTCAAAAGGAAACATCTCGGGATTCCATTACCTCTTTAAAGGTCTTTGGATGATCCTAAACTTGGTAACAATATGAATATTGTACCCCCGTTTCATCCCTTGAACCTTCCACTAAATACAAGTGAAAATCGGGACCAAAGTCTTTCATGATGCGACCTCATTTGCTTTTCCTTATTTGTGGTGCTTCGGGATTCAAAGAACCATCCAAACATTCTGGAACTTACACCTCACTAGTTCTTGGAATTAGTTCCTTTGGTCCTTGAATTGATGAAAACCTCATCTCATCAAAGATCATATCCCGAGACTCAATCACAGTGTTAACCGCTACCGCATCATTAGGTTCTATTACATAAAACCTATAAGCATTGGAATGTTCAGCATACCCTATGAATATGCAACCAATTCCCCTTTCCCCAAAAGTTTTTCTTTTGGTCTCGGGCAATTTTACAACCGCCCTACAACCCCAAACCCGAAAATATTTCAAATTCGGCGCTTTCTTGTACCAAAGCTCATATGGGGTTGTTTTGTTCCTTTTATTTGGAACCCTATTTAGAACATAGCAGGCCGTGAGCATGGCCTCTCCCCAAAACCCTTCACTCAAACCCGAGTAGGAAAGCATGGAATTAACCATTTCCTTTAACACTCGATTTTTCCGTTTGGCCACACCATTTTGTTGTGGTGTATACGGAGCCGTGGTCTCATGAATGATTCCATCAGATTGAAAATAATGGGGATCCATATATTCTCCTCCCCTAACAGTCCTAAGACATTTAATTGGATTACCCAATTGCAATTCAACCTTGGTTTTATACACTTTAAATTTCTCTAAAGATTCGTCCTTAGTGTGCAATAAATACACATAACAAAACCGAGTTGAATCATCAATAAAAGTAGCAACAAACTTTTTATTGCCAAAGGAAGGAGTTGAGTGAAAATCACATAGATCACTATGTACAAGATCCAAAATAGCCGAATTCCTTTCAACATTAGGAAACGGTTGTTTTGTGATCTTAGTAAGCATGCAAGTCCTACACTTATCATCATTAATATCAAAAGCCGGAATTAAACCATCTTTAGACATTTCATGCATTTTTCTAAAATTAATGTGAGCTAATCTAGCATGCCAAATCATACAATCATTAATGGAAGATGCCACAAAAACAGAATTATCACTAGAAATTAATCTATTCACAACATTCAAACGAAACATGCGATTTGATAAATATCTAAAACCAACAAACACATCACCCTTGGACAAAATATATTTATCGGATTCAATCACTTGTTTGATCCCTAAATTATTCAACATACTTCTCGAAACAAGATTCTTTCGAACCTTCGGTACATACAAAACATCAAACAACGTAATTGTTTTTCCAGAAGTAATTTCTAAAAAACTACACCCTTTCCCAAGATAAGCACCATTGACTCGTCTCCCATGCGTAAGAAGGAACCGACCTCCACTGGTTCTAGGTCTTCAAAACATCTTTTATCCTTACACACATGGCTCGTAGCCCCCGTGTCAATCCACCATGCACAGTCATCATCCTGTACATAAAAAGATTCTGGAATGAGTGATACATAACTCTGGATAGAATTATCAAAGTTAGTCAGGAACTGACCTCCTTTCCGTGGAACCAGGTCCTTACACCGTTCCTGTCCACTGCCACTCGTTCCAGCGCCATTCTTGTTCAGTTTCACACGGCAATCACGCTTGACATGTCCAACCTTTTGACACCTCCAACAAACCAAACCTTTCGATTTCTTGTTGGATTTGTCATGGTCTTCATACTTGCGCTTATCTTTCGGGTTAGATTTATTATCCTCAACCAAGTGCACATGAGCCAGTCTAGATTCAACTTCACCCATAATTTGGTCATTCTCTTGCACACGAAGATTCTCCTCAATGCGCAAGTGACTCCCAAATTGAACCAATGACAGTTTCTCATCTTGATGTTTTAAAGAACGTTTAAAATCCTTCCAAGAGGGTGAAAGTTTGTCAATTAGACTCGACACGGCATAGGACTCATCAACACCTATCTTGTGGAGTTTAAATTGACCAAGAACATGAAGGAGTTCATTGTATTGTTCCATAACTGGCCTTGAGTCAACCATTTTATAATTATTAAAATCACTCACCAAGAACTTCTTACTAGAAGTGTTGAAGACTATTTATTGTGAATCAAGTTTGTCTGTCTTGTCTGTAATAAGTTAGATGTTTACTATTTCTATTCTGTACTGATTAAATATATCTGTTAGAATAGTATACAATATGGGCCAAGTGTTAGGCCCATACTCAGGCAAGAAGCCTTTGTACGCATACCTGAGCCTCGCCTATAAAAGAGGGAGGAGGACTCAGGTTTGCAGTCAACTTTCGTATCTGCTCAAAATAGCCTTAGCGCTTATCATTCTTGTACGAAAGATTCACGGTATATCAGAGAAGGTTTTCACTTGATCTTTCTGTGTTCATCTTTATTGTTAATCTTTCATCTGTATGCCATATTATACTGTTGTTATAGAAAACAGGGAACAACAAATGGTATCAGAGCCGATCGAGAGCTGATCAGAAGAACTATCTGCGAAAGACTCTGTTTTTATAGAATAGCGAGTTTATCATCTGTAATCTTAATTCTGCACCAAATACTGTAAAAGTTATACTGTTAGAATCGCGTTACAAAGACGATCAAGCAGTATATCTTCCTTTTTCGTTTCTGCAATTTTTCTTCAGAAGTAAACTCGCACCCTTGAACTCGCACCCCTCGTTTCTCTAAGCTCTGTGCAGCTTTTTGACCTGAAACTTGGGTAAAAGGATCTCTACTACAAGGGCTACAACCTACCATATTTGTATTTCTGAAAATCTGAAGTTTTATTTTTTCAGGAATTCGCAGCCAGGTGTTTTTGCATAAACTCGCAGCCTGTAAACTCGAGTTGAGAAACTCGCAGCCTGCAAACTCGAGCTCAAGAACTCGCAGCCTAAAACTCGCACTCAACAAACTCGCACTCAACAAACTCGCAGCCTGCAAACTCGCAGTCTGACCACGAGTTTTGACCCTGCGAGTTTACACCTCGAGTTCTTAGAAACTCGAGCTCTTGACCTCGAGTTCACAAACTCGAACTCTTGACCTCGAGTTCACAAACTCGAACTCTCATCTCGAGTTCCCCAGACCTCGAGTTTATGCTTTGAACACTCAGGAACTCGAGTTCTTGACTTAGTAAATTTTCTGATCTTATTTCTCGAACGGTCAAGTTTTCTACAGCAACAGGAATGGCTTCTGAATCTAATGCGCAAGGAAATAGCAGTACTCCTCCATCTCTGAGGAAAGGGGAGTACCAAATGTGGAGAACTCGTTTCTTGAATTTCCTAGAACACAAAGAAAACTCCGACGCTATGCTGGAATCACTCCTGGAAGGACCAGCGGTACTAATGATTGACGTAGGAGGGGACTCAACAAATAATCCACCCATTCCTCCTGAAACAAGACGAAAGAGGCCTTCTGAATACACTGAAGCAGACAAGCTAAGGCTGAGAGGAGACCTCATGGCCAAAACATACCTTCTCCAAGCCATCCCAAATGAAGTGTATGTGATGATTGACAGTATGCAAACTGCAAAAGAAATGTGGGACGAGATTGAAAAATTACTCCAGGGCACGAGCATAAGCCTAAAAACAAAGAAATCTGCTATTTTGATGGCTTATGACTCGTTCAAGGCTGCTCCTGGAGAACCTCTTCACGAGACTCATGCCAGGCTTGTGAAGTTGATGAATGAAATGAGGAAAATCAAAATATTCAGAACCAACCTGGAACTGAATACTAGATTTCTGTCCAGTCTGCACCCATCTTGGAGTAAAACAGTAAAACACTTGAGACAACGCATTGACATGGATGAAATTGATCTCTTCACCTTGAATGAGCTGCTAAAGGAGTTCGTCAATGACGTTGTATGCACTGAGGAACAATCAAGCCCAAATCCTCTAGCTCTACTAATGGAAGCTCAGCCCAAAAGAGCGTCGAAACCTCTGCAGAAGAAGAAGAAGAAAGTAGTAGAGGTTGAATCTGATGAAGATGAGAGTGATGAAGAAGGAACTGATCTTGAAGCTGAGCTTGCAGATCTCCAGAAGAAGATGGCACTGCTGGCCAAGAAGTTTGCCAAGAGAAACAGCTCTTCAAATAAGCTGCGAACCTCTTCTTCCAACTACAAACAAAAGAACCAGGACCAAAGCTCAGCCAGGAAGGCTACATCAACTGCTAATGCCCCTGTGTGCTATAACTGCGGGAAGCCTGGACACATCAGCAAAGACTGTCGGCTCCCAAAGAAGAGAGATGCAAACTTCTACAAACAGAAGATTCTAATGAATAAACAAAAGCTCTTCTTAGCACAACAGGAGGAAGCAGAAGCCTCTGGCAAACATGCTGAGCTGGTCCAGTGGGCGGAAGATGATTCTGAAGAAGAAGAAGAAGAGGAAGAGAACTTCGCCTTGATGGCAAGGCTGGAGGATGAAGAAGATAAAAAGGGTGATGCTGCGATCCCCGGAAGTGAATGCTCTACAAGCACTGTAAGTACCTCTAATCACTCTCACACTATACAAACTCAGTCCTTACACAATAAGGATCACCTCATTAAAGAACTGCAGGAGAGATTAGACAATAATTACAGGGTACTGAAACAGAACCTTGACCAAAAATCTTCCTTAAGCGTTCAACTTGAAAATGCCAAAGATCAAATCAAAAGGGTGTCCTCAGACTTTGAAAGCTTTGAACTTAAAATAGCTGAACTAACTAAGAAACTGCAAGACAGTAAAGTTGAGAAAAACACAGCTAAAGCTGACTGTGAATTTTTAAGAAATAAAAGAAGCAGTCTTTTAAGCAAAGTAAAAGAACTTGAGGATGTATGTGTCAGAAGAGGTCAAACCGAACACACAGTTTTTCTAAATCGTATAAGCGACGTTCAGCATTACAACCCTAAAGCTGGTCTTGGACTACCGAACCCGCGTCATTTAAAAAAGGTTGACTGCCGTCAGTTGTATGATGCAACATACTTGACTCTAGACATTGATAAGAAAATGAAATTTGGGGGTGAAGAAGAAACCACTAAAGAAGAAGAAGAGAAAAGGAGTAATCCTAAAATTGAAACCTCTTTTGACTATACTCCTCTGGTTGAGAAAGCTCTTTCTAAAGAAAAGGTAATCTACAACGAGGAGGGGTTTGATATTTTTAATGTCCCAAAAGGGGTTCCATATTACGAAAGTCCAATGGGTCCCTCTCCTAAAACTGGAATTTTTAAGTCTGGACAGGACAAGTGCATCTCTCCACTGGTTCAAAAATATGCTGATCTTCAGAAAACCCTTGAAAATGAGAGAGAGCGTTTTGAAACTGAAAAGAAAAGTTCTGAAAGCAACTGGCAAGAACTATTAAGCAAATTTGATGAATTAAGTGAAAGATATCATTCTGCTTTAAAAACTGCTCAAACCTCTTCTGATAAAACTAAATTTTCTGAAAAATCCGCCACTCATCACTCTTCTCCTTTTGTCACAGAACAAGAAGTGAAAAGAAGAGGAGAAGAGAAGAAAGAGTGGGAGATGAAGAGAAAGGAAATAGCTGCTGGCAAGAAGAAAGTTTTTGAGAATAAGCCTGGTCCTAGATCCAGCTCCATTTTGTACTCTAAAACTAAATCTAAACATGTCCATGTAAATTCAGTTTCTAGTAGTTCAGTCTTGTGTCCCAAGCTGAAAAATTCTGTGACATCTTTTGAACATGGCTCTTTGTATAATTCCACTATTGCTTATGGTTATTCTGTTCCAGACCCCCACAATTATGAATGTGATGTGAATGCTGTTAAATCAAAGCCTTTTAGAAAGCTCAAACCCAAAAGAGAAACCAAGAAAGGAACTGCTAAGGGAACGTTTTGTATTCCTGATATGAAATATTCTCTCAGAGTTCATTCAAGGAAACATCTAAATCGGCTTTCTAAAGAGGAGATTTTCAAAACTAAATTGAAGAAACAACCTTTCAATCACAAAGCACCTGTCTACTCTCCTCCTAAACCTAAAATGGAAAGGTGGGTTCCCAAGATAAGACCCACTCAAACTAAAACTGAAAGGTGGGTCCCTAAAATGAAACCTACCAAGCCTGAACTTGAAAGGCGGGTCCCTAAGATGAGACCTACTAGACCTGAAACTGAAAGATGGGTCCGCAGACGAAGACCCATCCAAACTGAAATTGAAAGGCGGGTCCCTAAGATGAGACCTACCAGACCTGAAACTGAAAGATGGGTCCGCAGACGAAGACCCATCCAAACTGAAACTGAAAGGTGGGTCCACAGACGAAGACCCATCCAACATGAACCTGAAAGGTGGGTCCCTAAGATGAGACATCTCAGACCCACCAAAACTAAAAGAGAAACTGCTAAGTGGGTCCCAAAAATCAGACCCACTGCAAAAGCAGATCTGGCTGTCAGAGAGCCCACAAGAGATAAATCTCTTGTTGAAAAAGCTGCTGACTTTGGATCACAGCTCAAAGCGAAACTTGAATGGATGTTTTTCAATGATGAGGAAGGACCCATTCCAAGATGGGGACCTGAACCTGTTTAACTGTTTTGCAGGACGGTCATGTGTGGCACTTGGATTCTGGATGCTCAACCCACATGACCGGAGTAAAGTACCTACTGAGCAACTATACCACCTGCTATGGAGGCAATGTTAGATTCGGGAACGACGCCTCATCTCCTATTCTTGGATATGGGGATGTCATCTGTGCCAGCGCAACCATCAAAGATGTTTCTTTTGTCAAAGGGCTCAAACACAATCTTCTGAGCATAGGACAATTCTGCGACAGTGGGATGGAAGTGAGGTTCATTGCCAAACAATGCTGTGTTCTAGACAGCGAAGGGAACTCATTATTAACGTGTTACAGGACCTCCAACCTGTACACTATTGATCTGAAAAGCGTTCAATCCACCACTTCCATCTGTCTGCTGTT